GAGACTGAAAAGATATCACAGAAATAGGGACTACAGTAGTAGACAGGCAAAGCAAAGGTGTATGTATACTGAACTTAAATATTTCAAACTTATGCTTATCTGGTATCTTCTATGTTCATGACTCTTTCAAAGGATGGGCTTTTATATTAGAGAGGGGCTCTTAATCAAAGGAAATTGACTTTACTTTTCTCCTTTCCTTGGATTGAACCTAAATGCTTAGTACTATTTCCTGATTAAAAAAAAATCACGACACAGAAAAGACCAACAATTATGTCGGTGCAAAATCTTTAACAGGGTTCAGTTTCACACTCGTGACAGGACGAGTGTAACGTATTAACACGTACCGTTTTCGGTGCCTTTTTTTTTAGTAAAGAGTATAATAAAAATGTGCCCTCCTGGCTGGTTACTGTACAGTATACCCTTTTTTATTGTAATGTACAGTATACCGTAATATTACACGATGCAACTTTTATCTCTTGCACCACATTCACATACACTGGTGCCCATGGAGCAGGGAGAGAGAGGACCTAGTAGCAATCAGTGAAGAGGCAGGGCCAGGAGCTATAACTCAACCCCTGCAACCATGAGTACACAAGGATATAATACAAAGGGCAGTGTACACTGCTAGTTCATTGGATTTGTCTTTCCAACCAATGCAGTGTTGTCAGCTGACCCTCAACTGATCACCTTGATAGAACACTGAAGGGTAGACATCAGAATGTTCACAACAATAAGCCACTGAGATGGCCATTTTTTATACCAGGCTGTTAAAAATGAACAAGGAATCCCCTGCCACCAAATGCTGAAATGTCTATCTGTATACAATGCAACATTTAAACCTCACCTATGGTATACTAGATAATGTCCTATACCACACAACAACCCTTGACCACTGCATTCTCTGTCTCAATAAATCTAATTTTCGACTCTTATTTATAACATTACGTATATACACTACAGCAGATACCTCAACATGTGGACCGTATAGACAACCATCCATCTATCCTTTGTCAATGCAGTGTCACCGAAGGTCACCTTGATTCTGCTTGATGGTATCGTGTACCTTTTGCACACCAGCTGAGCAACCTTCTCACACAATGCACCTGTGACCTGACCTCCCACTGCCCTGTCTTTGCTGCATATAAGGTGACCACTACTTCCTTCACTTGACTCACGAAATCGTAATGACATGATTGCAAACAAACCATACCACAGGAAAGGACTGCACTTGTGGCAAGTGAGTTGTAAAACTCCAGGCAAGCATATAAGCCACTGGGCCAGCTGGCTACAATAAAATTAATCCAACTAGGTATATTTATACATCATAGACAGGTTAGTATAGGCCCCACTGTGACCACATATGCAGGTTTTTACAGATGAATCTCCCACTAGCTTATCCAAAACCAGACCTGTGTTGCAGATGCTGTGTGGAATTTATTCTCACTACTACTACCAACACTGTCCCTCAAAATACAAGCATTTTTATGATTGTGGAAATGCTTGCCAAAAACACCCTACATCCCAGAACAATCATCACTTAGTTCTTCCCTATAGCCTGAGTAGCACCTGACCCAAACCATTATGTATACTGTACTCTGATTTCTTTTTCTCTGTATTGGACTGATAAAAGACCCTGGTAAGTGAAATATTTTTTGGACAAGTGTCCTCATTAATACCTAACTCCAGCACTGTATGACCCTTGTGGGTTTAGTGCTTTTTTTATCACATTGGCCATTTCCCACCGAGGCAGGGTGACCCAAAAAGAAAAAACATTCATCATTCAACACTTTCACCATCGCTCATACATACACTCTTTGCAGAGGCGCTCAGATATGACAGCTTAGACGTCCCTCCAAACTGCCAATATCCCAAACCCCTCCTTTAAAGTGCAGGCATTGTACTTCCCACTTCCAGGACTCAAGTCCGGCTGACTGGTTTTCCTGAATCCCTTCACAAAATATTACCCTGCTCACACTCCATCAGGTCCCAAAAACTATTCATCTCCATTCACTCCTATCTAGCATGCTCATGTACACTTGCTGAAAGTCCAAGCCCCTCGCCCACAGAACCTCCTTTATCCCCTCCCACCAACCTATTCAGGGACAACCCCTACCCCGCCTTCCTTCCCCTACAGATTTATACGCTCTCCAAGTCATTCTACTTTGTTCCATTCTCTCTAAATGACCGAACCATCTCAATAGCCCCTCTTCAGCTCTCTAATACTTTTAGTAACTCCACACCTTGTAATTTCCACACTACGAATTCTCTGCATAATATTTACACTACACATTGACATGACATCTTCACTGCCTCCAGCTGCCTCCTTGCTGCAGCATATACAACCCATGCTTCACACTCATATAAGAGTGTTGGCACCACTATACTCTCGTACATTCCCTTCTTTGCCTCCATGGATAATGTTCTTTGTCTCCACAGATACTTCAATGCACCACTCACCTTTTTTCCTTCATCATTTCTTCCATACTCCCTCCCTCCAATGTGATGTCCAATTTTTCTTTATCTAAATCGTTTTATACCCTCATCGACTTATCTATGTTCACTTTCAACTTTCTACCTTTATGCTTAGTTACTATAATATAGCTAGATGAACAAGGGCAATGGGTGTAAACTAGCATGTATGCATTGATCCATTTGTTCTCTAAGAGCATTTCCAATGAGGTATGTTTAGTGGAAAATACACAGTGAAATAAGAGATATCCAATACTTAGTGGGATGAATTGTAAAGGACCTGCCTAGTATGGGCCAACAGGCCTGCTGCAGTGTTCCTCCTTTCTTATGTTCAATATTAGGGTTTTAATATTATGAATTATTATATTCATGAGGAAGTATTAATTATGTGTCACATAACCTAGAAAATGGGAGGTTATCAGGTTTCACACAAGGAAGAAAAAGATATCTCTGATTTCTTATATCAAGAGCCCATCACTAGCATCAAGGCAATCTTTAAGAGTGCATAGAATAAAATGCAATAAGATCACAGTAAACAGGTGATTTTAAATTATGCAAAACAACCAGTGTGAAAGAGTAGTGAAATTCCAAGCGCTTTCGTGACTACTCACATTGTCAAGGAACTATGAAAGTAATACTGTACATCAAAGGAAGGCAATTAACCCTTTGAGGGTTTTCGTCGTACTAGTACGTCTTACGCGTAGGGGTTTTTGACGTACTAGTACTCATAAATTCTAGCGGCCTCAAATCTATTGGGAGAAAGCTGGTAGGCCTTCATATGAAAGAATGGGTCTATGTGGTCAGTGTGCACAGTCTAAAAAAAAATCCTGCAGCACACAGTGCATAATGAGAAAAAAAAAACTTTGACCATTTTTTTTTAATAAATCAGCGACTTTGCAGTGTATTTTCGTATGGTATTTATTGTTGTATTCTAGTTTTCTTGGTCTCATTTTATAGAATGGAAGACATATTACAGAAATTGAGATGATTTTGACTGGTTTTACAAAGAAAGGTGCCTTGAAATTGTGCTCAAAGTAGCAGAAATGTTCGATTTTTACCAAACTTCAAAAGTAAACAAATCGTGCCAAGCGTGCAATACACGTCAACTGGTGAGTCTAATATTCTTTCACAAGTGCACCAATAATATTTATGCCATTTTTTACACTAATGCAGTAGTCTGCATAACAGTAAATCTATATATTTTTTGTGAAAATAAAAATTCAAAGTGGAAAGCAAAAGAATATAAGAGGGCCTTGAGACGTGACTAATGACTAGAGGAAATGTCATTTTAGTGCAGGAATGTCTTTCTTGTTTATTCTGGACCCTATTCGAAATTGGCATCTTTTGAAATTTGTGTGAAATTGGCAAAATTGCTAAATTCTGACCACTGTACTGGATAGTTGAATTTCATAAATGAGTGGTTTCTTGCACCCATTCGATAGAAAAAAATGGAGTTCTAGCGAAATATTCATGTTTTTTGTCGACTAGTACAGTGAAATTGGCCGAAAATGGGGCTCAAAGTGGGCCAAAATCGCCGGATGCGTAAACATCGCCGAGACCGCTAACTTTGCAAGAGCATAATTCCGTAAGTTTTCTATCAAATTTCAAACTTTTGGTGTCTTTATGATCGGGAAAAGTTTTCCCTTATCCTTTTCATAAGGAAATAATTTTTTTTTTTTTTTAAATTTGGCCGACCCGGGAGAACAAGTTTGGGGAGAGGGCCTGTGACCCTCAAGGGTTAAGGGCTTAGACACACTCACGTCACTCCCAAACAAAAAACCTGATGCAGGACATATTGTTTTGTGTCCAGATTCATAGATGAAAGGAATATCAAAATTTTATGAATTAGCAATGATCTGAAAAACCGAGGATGTAATTGATAAATCATTTGAAATTGCTAGAAATACTTTTTACAACCCAAAAAGGGACAACCAACTTATTCAACTAAAAATATTTTGGTTCTCCCTTACCATGAAAACTTGGTTGTTGCCTTCTCTTCTTAAGACTTTTAATATTAAAGTTGTATTTAAAATTTTGATACATTTAAAAAAAACTTTTGATAAAGATTCCCCCAAAAAATGCTGACGGATGTTGTCTTAAGATTCTTGTAAAATTTGCGTAAAGTTTATTACGGTCAAACTGGTAAAAGCCTCGAACTTAGGTAAAAAAATAAATATAGCATTAGAACTGGACAAGATTCCAATGCTCTATTTATTCATGTGGAATTAACCATCAATTGAATTTTTCAAAAAGTTGAGAAAGTTGTTTTCAAGCAAGTCCATGGTGACAGAAAATATAATTAAATTTTTGTTTCAAAAAAAGCAGTTTTGAAAATATATGAATATTTCCTTAGGTTTGTATAATTAGATTCTTTATAATAATATAAATTTGGTTCGAGTTTTTATACTTGGACAAATAATAACCTTTTTCTTGGGTAGAATGATTTTGTTGAATGGGTTGTCGTGGGGGACCTGCTAGTTGGACCCAGTGGACCTACTACAGTTTTCCCTTTTCTTATGAGCCGGTTCTGTCCCGCTTCAGGTGTTTCTTTGTTATGGGGTTTGACTGTGAGGTGTGGTCTAAGCCCTTTTATTGCCTTCCTTTGATGTATTACTTTCATAGTTCCTTGACAATGTGAGCAGTCACGAAAGCGCTTGGAATTTCACTACTCTTTCACAGTGGTTGTTTTGCATAGAATAAAATATAAAATTAGATTGAATGTTTCAAATAAAATTTTAAAAATGCTGAATCCTTAGCTCTCTAGAAGTTTCTGCATGAGCATATTTTTGATGACTGCATGTAGTTCAAATTTCTGTCCATTACACAATCCTGCCCAGTCATCACTATTGAGATTCCAGGTCATCACTCCTGCAACACCAGCATCAAGTACCCATTGTACCTGAAAAATAAAAAACATCTGAGGCTACTAAGATATTTTAAACCTAATATAATAGGAATAAAAGGCAAACAAAAGTTTTAGAATATTGTAGCCAAAGTTAAAATTGTTTACGTATGTATTCTTCACAAAATGTTTTAATCAACAATGTTATTTTTTACACATGCATTGTTCTTAGTCTAATATTTAAGTGTGGTTTTTGGATAAGCCATTTTAAAAAGTGGGTAATGCCAAGTACATGAGAGATCATTTAAATACATATATTGATGAGAGTTTTTGAGGTCAGAATTGCTGTAATTAGGGTTCTAATTACTGATTCTTGTTGCGTAATATTTGGCTTAAGATGGGAAATACAATCATGCTAGTATTAATTTTCTTGCTTTGTGCCATGGCCTGATGTAAACTGGCTCAGACTGTGATGACCCCTTGATATTTTATTTTCTAATATGTTAACCACCATCTATGACACAAATACAAGTTTGTTTCAACATGATACATTGTTTATACAGAAATGGGTGACACTTGAGTGCATGTTGAAAGCTCATAATTCCTTCTTTCTTTCAAGAAACCGGCCGCATCCCACCAAGGTAGGGTGGACCAAAAAAGAAAAACGAAAGTTTCTCTTTTTAACTTCAGTAATGTGTACTGGAGAAGGAGTTACTAGCCCCTTGCTCCCAGCATTTCAGTCACCTCTTGTGACACACATGGCTTACGGAAGAAGAATTTTGTTCCACTTCCCCATGGAAATAAACAATAACTAGGAAGAAAATAGAAAACCCAGAGGGGGTTTGTATATATATGCTTGTACATGCACGTGTATGTAAAAACCAGAAAAAAGACACCAGCAATCCTACCAAGTAAAACAATTACAGGTGTCTGTTTCACACTCACTTGGCAGGAAGGTAGGTCCTCCCTGGGCAGCTGCTGTCTACCAACCTACTACCCAGGAAAGCCCATAGTTATGTTTACAAAACAAAATAAATCTGACCCAGTTCCCCATGAAATTAAAAGAAAACAAAACTGCTCAAATAAGAACTATTAGGGAATACAGAAGAAACTTAAGTGTATGTACACACAAACCTTATCAATAATGCTGATATTATCATCATAAGATACCCAATCTCTGTCTCTTACAGCATAAGGAACTTTGCTTTCATTTTTAAAAAGAAACGAGTGGTTTCCCTCTTTTACAAAGAGGGCCAGGCCCCCCCAAAAAAAAAGTAAATTTTTTCCCCCCAGTATACCTTCAGCAACTGCGGGGCCCCAAAACCCTGAAACTGTTTCATTTTCAAGAAAACCGGGAAAAAAAACAAAAAATAAACTTTTTTTTTTTTCCCCAAACCAAAGGGCGGGTTTGACCAAAAAAGAAAGGCCCAAAAAAAAAAAGGAAAAAAAAATTTTCATCATCATTCAACATTTTTCACTCATCATCACTGCCCTTTGCAAAAAGGCCCTCAGAAAATCAATAAAAAATTTTTTTTTTTTATTAACACATGGGGCCGTTTCCCCAAACCAAAGGGGCAGGGTGGCCCGAAAAAAAAAAAATTTCACCCTTTCACATTTCCATCCTGTCTTCCCAGAAGGGTGCTTTACACTACAGTTAAAAAAAACTCCCAACATTAAACCCCCCCTTCAAGGCAGACACTGTACTTCCCATCTCCGGGAAACCAATTTTCCAGCCTCCCGGGTTTTCCCCCCTGAATCTCTTCAAAAATTTACTTTGTCACACTCCAACAGCATGTCAATTTATTAAAAACCTTTGCCCTCCATTTCCTTTTTTCTATAAAATTTGCCTCACGCAGGGCTTGCTGGAAGTCCAACCCCCTAACACACAAAAACCCCCTTTTAAACCCCCCCCCTTTTCCCAACCCTTCCTAGGCCGCCCTCCCCGTCTTCCCTCCATAAAGATTTATACACTGGGAAGTCATTTTGTTTTTTTCCCTTTCTCTCTCCCATGCCCCAAAACCACCTCAACAACCCCTGTCATCCCCCTGGATAATATTTTTTGGTCCCCCCAAACACCTTCTCCTAATTTCCAAACTACAAATTCTCTACTTTTATTTTTTCACACCACACATTGCCCTCAGAAAAATGACATCTCCACGCCTCCACCCCTTCCCCCTCTTTGGGCAAATTCATCACCCATGTTTTTCCCCCATACAAAAAGTTTTGGAAAAACTATACTCTCATAAAACCCCCTTTTTGGGCCTCCAAGGACAAAGTTCTTTTCCCCCACAGACTCCAAAGGGCCCAACCACCCCCCCCTTTTTCCCCTCATCAATTCTGTGATTCACCACACCCTTTCACAGCCCCATTCCCTGACACTCCCACCCCCTATATATCTAAATACATTCCCTCCCCCATACCTCTCCCTCCAATCTGGATCCAGTTTTCATCACCTAATCTTTTTATCCTCAAAACCCTTTAAATTTTCCCCCTTTATATCCCATTTTTAAATTTTTCTTTTTTTAATTTACCCTCCCAAAATTTTCATCCACCAATTTTCTGAAAACCTTTTTCTTAAGAATCCCCCAAATTTGCACTAAATCATCAGAAAAAGAGCAACTGTGAAAACCCTCCCACTTTGTGTTTAAATTTTTTTATCTTTTAACCCCCCCCAAAACCAACCTTTCTTCCCAAAGGGACCCTAGCATTAAATTTCCCCCTTAAAACCCCCTTTCTAAAAATAATTGAACAACCCCCGGGGGACATCACACCCCTTGTCTAAGGCCTATTTTTACGGGGAAATTAATATTTTCTCTCTCCTACATATTTAAAACCTGAGCCTCATATCCCAAAAAAACCCCTTAAACTGCTTTCAGAAATCCCTTAAAAACCTCCTATACCAAAACACCGAAACATTCCCCACATTCCCCCCCCTATCCCCCCTGTCATATCCCTTTTTCCAAAATTTCCTTTAAAAATGGCAAAAAAAACCTTTTTTACCCTTATCTAAATACTGTTAACTTATAGTTTTAAACTGTAAAACCTTTTCCACCACCCCCTCCCTTTTCCTAAAGCTTCCTTTTTTTCATCTGCTATCCTACTCTCTTTTTTCCCTTTTAAATTTCCCTTTAAAATAATAACCCCTTCCCCATACACTTTACCAGGTGTACTCAATAGACCTTTTTTCCCTATAATTTTTTTGCACTCTTTTTTTCCCCTTTCCCATTTTAAAAAAACCCCTTTTCCATCCCTTTTTATTAAATAATAGAAACCAACCACCCCCAAAACTATACCCCCCTCCTGCTTTTAACATTTCATCTTTTATCCCATCAATCCCAGCTGCCTTACCCCTTTCATTCTACCCTTTTTCCCCCTCACAAAAACTTCCTCCACCCTCACAACGGCTCTTCCTCACTCCTACTAGATTTATTCCCCTTCCCCCTATACAAAAAAAATCACAGCTTCCCTATCTTCAAAAACACTTAAAAATTTCCTCAAAATATTCCCTCCATTTTCCCCGATACCTAACTTTTCCCATTTAATAACTCTCCTCCCCCCCTTTTTTAATTGTAAAAATCCTTTTGTTCCCTAGGTTTCCTAAAATTTTTTAAACCTCATTCCAAAACTTTTTTCTTTTTTTAAACCCAAAATTTGTTGATAACTTTCTCACCCACTCCCTCTTTTGGGCTCTCTTTTTTCCCAATTGCTTCCCCCACTCTCTTAATCCCCTTTTTTCCTTTCCGTATATTTTCCCCCCTTCCTTTGTATCACTTCAAATTTTTAAAAACCCCCCCTCATATCCTAACTTTTTCTCCCTTACTACTCTCTTTACTTTTCTTTCCCCACCAATTGCTCTTTTTTCCCCTCCCACACCCACTTTCCTGTAACCACAAACTTTTTGCTGAACACTCAACACTACATTCTTTAAAACCCACCCCATACATCTTTTTACCCCCTTTTCCTATACTACTCTCACTAGCCCTTTTATCCTTTCCAAAAGTTGTTTATATCTTATCTAACTGCCTCCTCTTTTTTTGTTTATAACCCCCTTAACCCCTCTCTTACTTACTGCTTTATTTTCCTTTTTATCCCCCTCACCTTTTCCCCTCACTGTAGCTAAACTAGAAAAGATTGGTATTATCTGTTGCCATCTATAAACATGTTTCATCCTTAAATTACTCCCACAGTCTTTTTAAACTACCAAAGTCCCAAAAAACTACTGGTCATTAAGCCCTACAACATTAAACTTGTATACTTTTAAACCCCCTTTTTCTTAAAAAAGTTTTACTTATAATAAACCCCCCCTTTTTATACAAAGGTTCAATCAAAAGGGGTCCCCCTTTTTCATTTACAAACCCGGCACCCCCCAAAAATTAAACCCACCACACCCTTTTCTAAAAATTTTGGTCCCCTACCAAAAATTACTCTCTCACTTTTTGGGTTTAAAGGTTTTCCCATAAAATTTGGGTTTTAAAATTTTCCCAAAATCTCTCTCTCTTTCCCCTTTCACCCTCTCCCTTTTCCAGGTGCATCACCCCCTTTTTATGAACCCCCCTTTTCACATCCCCACCCTTATTTTAAAACCCAAAATAAAACCTTGAATTTAAACATTTATAAATTTTCTCTTCCCCCTTCCCTAAATGGGCCTTCAACTTTTTTGCTACCCCTTCCTTAGCTTAACTCTCTACTACCCCCTGAAAATTAATTTCCCCAAATTTTTTCTCCTCATCAAACTCGTCTACCCCCTTCACTTTGTTTCGCTTAGGGGGCCCCGGACATCCAAAATTCTTTTTTATTCATAACACAGCAATCATCTCTTTCTTTTCTTTCCGCACTGCATCCATGCACATTCCCAAACAACCCAGTTTTTTAAAGTTTTTCTTTTTCTATTTTTAGTAAAAGTGACAAAAAGAAGGGGGTTTCTAGCCCCTTGCTCCCGGCAATTTTTGTGCCTCATAAGACACCCCATGGCTTTAAAGGAGGAAAGATTCTTTTCCCCCTTCCCCATGGGCCCAAAAGAGAGAAAAAAAAAACAAGAACAAGAGTAAATTTAAAAA